AAGAAGCTATTGTTTTCCAAGTAAGTATTTATTTAAAAAAAAAAAAAAAGATAATAATTCAATAATTATTATTTATTATAATATATGCTCAAAAAATATTAAAATATTATATATTTATATTCATTTTAATTTATTTATTTAATTTGTATATATAATAGTTCAATGTTAGAAATACCTTAAATGATTCAGTATTAGAAAATGTCAGTATCGTCATGGATATTGCTTCACAAGATGACGAAAACATAGATTTATTACAACCATTATACTGTATCCCATGTAACCAATTACTTTATGATCAACCAGAAAAGATTTACGTAGTTTACAAGAGACCACAACAATATACTCCATCAGGTAAAAAAAATAAATTTATAATATTATCATTACCATTATTATTATTATTATTATTATAACAATAGTATTAATAATATATTATAATATAATTAATTATTAAATTAAAAAAAAAAATTCATATTTAAAAATATTTTATTAACGATGATCTTATTATTATTATTATAAATATAATTATTATCATTTAGTTACCTTCTCTTGTTTATTAAAGTTCATTGTTAAGGATTGTGATCCAACTACTGGTGAAATTGATTCTGAAGGTTTTGAAGATGAATACCAAGTAAGTATATTTATTAGAAAAAAAAAATTTTTTTTTTTTTTAAATTAAAATATTAATAAACTTAATTTTATATATATATATAAATTTATTTAAAAATTCATTTTAAATACATTATTATGAATATGTATTAATATATAAATATTATTAATATTAATAATAATAATATTATTATTAGCTTGAAGATTTAGAATTAAGTATCGGTGATTACGTTGCTCCAGCCTTTATAATTAACTTCCAAAAAGCTTGGGATGAAATTGGCGATGCTAATGAAGTTGTTGAAACCTATATGTTAACTGCTGCTACTTCATTAAAGAGTAAAATTTTTTTTTACAATTTTTATTTTATTTTATTTTATTATATATATATAATTATATTATTATTGTTGTTGTTTTATTTAATTAATTTTTATTTTATTTTTTTTATTTTATTTTATTTTTATATAAAATAAATAATTTTAAATTACAGAGGCTATAAGTAGTGTTATTGATATGTTAGGTATGACACCATGTGAAAATTCTGATATAGTAGAAGACAGAGCTAATACTCATGCTTTATTATTAACTGGTACCTTTGTTGGTGGAATTCCATGTATCGCTCGTGCACGTATGATTTATGAATCCTCAACAGGAGTTACCTTAGAATTAACCGTTCGTTCACCTGTAAGAGCTGTTTGTGAAATATTATCTAATGCTATTAATTAGATCTGATCACCTTTTTTTTTTTTTTCAGTATTAAGATATAAAAAATCTTATAAAAAAAAAAGATAAAAGATAAAAAATATAAAAATAAAAAGTTAAAAAAAAAAAAAGAAAAAACTAAAAAAAAAAAATAAAAAAAAGAATAAAACAAAAAAGCAAAAAAATATAAAATATAAAATACAATAAAACAATATCAAACGAAATTAATAATAAAATAAAATAAATAATAAAATAAAATTAATAATAAAATAAATAATTAAATATCATAATAAATAAATTATAATCATAATAATAAATAAAAATAAAATATAAAAAACAATTTTTACAAATATAAGAAAAAAGATAATAAAAAAAAAAAAATAAAAAAAAATAAAAAAATAGCATAAAAAATATAATTAATAAAAAAATTTATTAATAACTAAAAAAAAAAAAAAAACAACCTTTTTTATATATATATATATATATATATAAATTATATAAAAATAAATAAAAAAAATTTAAAAATAAAAAATAATAAAAATAAAAAAATAATAATTAATAATTAAAAAAAAAAAAATTTTTTTTATAATATAATCATAATCATAATTATAAAAAAAAAAAAAAAAATTAAATAAACATATATAAAATATATAAAAAAAAAAAAAAAAAAAAATAAGGAAAAAAGAAAAAAAGGGAAAAAGAAAAGAAAGGTTAAAAAAAAAATTTTTTTTTTTTAAAATTTTAAATATATAGTAATAAGAATTACTTATTATATATGTAAATGTATTTAATTGTATTTCAAAGTTTCAAAGGAGAAAGAAAGAAAAAAAAGTAACAAAATTTAATTTTTTAATTTGTGATATAGAAGGTTATGTTATGTTATTTAGTTGAATTGAACAGATTTTTATATTTTTTTTTAATTATATTTTAGTAATAATTTTTAATATATTTTAAGTAGAAAATGTTCCCATTTAAAATATTTAAAATATTTAATATATTTAATATAATTATCTTAATTAAGAAGAAAATATTAATTATAAATAATATTTTTTTTATAACTTAATTTTGTTATGGTGTAAAGAATATCAAGATAGTTTTATTTAATATCAATATAATTTTTCTTTTTTTATTTTTTATATTTTATTTATATTATTATTATTAACTATTATTATTATTATTTATTATTACTAATTATTATTACTATTATTATCATCATCAATTATTGTTATTATTATTCTATTTCTTTTATATCTTATATAATTATTAATAAGATATAATCATTGTTAAAAAGTCATTTTTAGTTTTACAATACCTTTTTTTATTAATACATTCGAGATTCATACATTATTTTTAATACATTACATTTTAATACATTTAATTCGGGAAGTGTGCATTTCGGCAATGTATTTTGTAAATGTATCGCGCATTAAAATAACGTATTATTTAAATGTATTATATTGTGGCTTATAAATTAAATTAATAAAAAATTTATTATATTATTAAAATCAATATTTTATTTATTATTGATTTATGAAACCAATTTATTAGTGACATCTTCTTTTTATTAATATTTCTTTTTTTTTTTTTTTTTTATTTAACTTATGAAATAAATAAAATATTAAGTGAAATTTAAAATTTATCTATAATTATTTAAATTATTAAATAAATAAAATATTAAGTGAAATTTAAAATTTATAAATTCTTTAAATTATGAAATAAATAAAATATTAAGTGAAATTTAAAATTTATATTTATAATTCTTTAAATTATGAAATAAATAAGAAATGCTTTAATATACAAGTACTAGTAGCATATAAACTCTCTTAAAAAATTTTTATATAAATGTGGCGTTAAAAATATTTATATAAATTTACAATATAAAATGTGGCGTAAAGGACCATTCAATGCAAAAAATTTCATGTACATTGCCGAAATGCAACACTCAGATTTAATTCAAGTTTTTACAATTTTTAAATCTTACTATACATTTTTTTTTTCATTTTATTTTGTGGTAAAGTTATTAAATTTTAAATATTTTTTCATTAAAATTATCAATTAATTTTTAACTTTATAATATAATTGATATAGATATTTGTATTTATATAGAATATATCAATAAAAATACATTGGGAAGTGTGAGATTCGAACTCACGAACGACAGAGCGTATTAAATTAATTATTTTTGCTGTTAATGACTTTCAACAAGTCATATTTAACAATTATTAACGCTTAACCCCTCGGCCAACTTCCCATTTATTTAATAATTTATATATATTGACTAAAAAGAAAAAAGAAAAATTAAAAAAAAAAAAAAAATAAATAAATAATGAATATTTTTTTTCTATATATATATATATTTTATTTTTATTTTTATTTTTCTTATCTTAAATTATAAAAATTATATAATATAATAAAAATAAAAAAGAAAAAAAATAAATAAATAATTAAAAAAAAAAAGTATAATATTACATTATGAGGTTAAAAACAAATTTAAACTAATACTCTATATAATAATATACTTTTTTTTTTTACCTCTTTTAATTTTTTTTTTAAATAATATATCTATTTTTTGATATTAATTTTAATTATTTAATATTAATAGATTTATAAATTGTTTTTTTTTTTTTTTTTTTTTTTTTTTAATATTAAATATTAGTATTATTTTTTTTTTTTATATCATATCTATAATTTATATATAGATATGATATTCTATTAGAAATTCATTATTTCCTAATCTATAATTTTAAAACCATTTATTCTTAATAAAATTATTATTAAATAATATTTCTTTTTTATAATGTTTATTAATATCTTTAACTAAAAACTAATTTTATATTATCAAAATTTTATTATAATACCTTATCATAAATTTATATTAATACAATATTTTTATTAATATTCTTAAATAAAATTTTATAAAGATTTTATAATAAATATTTATTAACAAATAATCTTATAAATTATACCTATATTTAATAACTATTTAATCCAAATATATATTTCTATTATAATACAATTAACTTTAAAAATATCTTATTTTAATAAGATATATTACAAAAAATTCATTCAATATCTTATTAATATTTATATAATAAATATATTAATGTTTTATAACAATTATTTTATCAATATCTAATTCTTTATAATACTTAATAATAATTTATTAATATTCTAAGTAATATTCTTATAACAATAATGATTAATACTTCTATTAATATTTTCTTAATAAATAAAATTTTACTTTAATTCTATTACAATATTTATAATAAATATTTATAAATAACTAAAATATATAAATAATTATAATATTCTTTTTGCATTAATTCATTAAGATCCATACATTATTTTTAGTACATTATATTTTAATACATTGAACATAAATTTTTCAATCTAGGTATGAATGCTAACGCTATATTGAGTGTGTTATTAGCGATAGCAAGAGCTACTGAATTGAACTTGTATTATTATATAAGTGGAATAAATACAAATACATTATTAATTCCAATCAAACATTATTTTTTATACAATTTTTAAATTTTATTTTACATTTTTTTTTTTTCATTTTATTTTGTGGTAAAGTTATTAAATTTTAAATATTTTCTCATTAAAACTATTATTAAATTAATTTTTAACTCTAAAATATATAATTGATATAAATATTTGTATTTATATTGGATATATCAATAAAAATACATTGGGAAGTGTGAGATTCGAACTCACGAACGACAGAGCGTATTAAATTAATTATTTTTGCTGTTAATGACTTTCAACAAGTCATATTTAACAATTATTAACGCCTTAACCCCTCGGCCAACTTCCCATTTATTTAATAACTTATTGATATGATATTCTATTAGAAATTAATTATTTCTTAATCTATAAAACTTTTTATGATTAATAAAATTAATATTAAATAAAGCTTCTTTTTAATGTTTATTACTATTTTAAAATATAATAATTTTATTAATTAATATCTTTAATAAAATAATATTCTTATATTATCAAAATTATATTATAATATTTTATCATAAATTTATATTGATACAATATTTTTATTAATATTCTTAAATAAAATTTTACGAAGATTTTATAATAAATATTCTTATAATAAACAATCTTATAAATAATATCTATATTAAATAACTATTTAATCCAAATATATATTTCTATTATAATACAATTAATTTTAAAAATATCATATTTTAATATGATATATTACGAAAATTTCACTCAATATTTTATTAATATTTTTATAATAAGTTTCATACACAATAATTAATATTTAATTAATATTTTTTAACAATTATTTCATCAATATTTAATACTTTATAATACTTTATAATAATTCATTAATATTCTAAGTAATATTCTTATAACAATAATTTTTAATATTTCTATTAATATTTACTTAATAAATAAAATTTTACTTTAATTCTATTACAATCTTTATAATAGATATTTATTAATAAATAAAATATATAAATAATTATTATACCCTTTTAACATTAATTCATTGAGATTCATACATTATTTTTAGTACATTATATTATAATTGAACATAAATGTACTAATACTATATTGAATGTGTTATTAGCGGTAGTAAGAGCTACTGAATTGAACTTGTATTATTATATAAGTGGAGTAAATACAAATAGATTATTAATTCCAATCAATCATTTTTTTTTTTCAATTTTTAAATTTTATTTTTCATTTTTTTTTATTATATTTTGTGGTAAAGTTATTAAATTTTAAATATTTTTCATTAAAACTATCGATAAATAATTTTTTACTTTAAACTATGATTGATATAAATATTTATATTTATATAGAATATATATTAATAAAAATACATTGGGAAGTGTGAGATTCGAACTCACGAACATTTCGGAAATAAATTATTTGTTATTATTTTTGCTGTGAATGACTTTCAACAAGTCATATTTAACAATTTTCACCGCCTTAACCACTCGGCCAACTTCCCATTTATTTAATAACTTATTGATGTGATATTCTATTAGAAATTCATTATTTCCTAATCTATAATTTTAAAACCATTTATTCTTAATAAAATTATTATTAAATAATATTTCTTTTTTATAATGTTTATTAATATCTTTAACTAAAAACTAATTTTATATTATCAAAATTTTATTATAATACCTTATCATAAATTTATATTAATACAATATTTTTATTAATATTCTTAAATAAAATTTTATAAAGATTTTCTAATAAATATTTATTAACAAATAATCTTATAAATTATACCTATATTTAATAACTATTTAATCCAAATATATATTTCTATTATAATACAATTAACTTTAAAAATATCTTATTTTAATAAGATATATTACAAAAATTTCACCAAATATCTTATTAATATTTTTATAATAAATTTTATAACTAGTTATTTATATTTTTTAACAATTATTTTATCAATATCTAATACTTTATGATACTTTAATTCTATTACAATCTTTATAATAAATAACTAAAATAAATATAAAGAAATAATTATTATCTTCAAATCGTATTATAAAATTTTGTATTTATCCTTTTTTCTTTTTCCTTTTCCTTTTATTCTTTCCCCTTCATTTTTAAAAATCATGGACAAATACAAAAAATAACTAAATTTTTATTATTTTAAGTAATATACGAAATAAAATTATAATAATTAAAAAAAAAAAAAAAAAAAAAAATAAAAAAATAAAAAAAAAGACAAAACATGAATAAATAAATAATAAATAAATGATTCAATAATAGATAATTATAAATAATAAATAAAAAATAAAAAATAATAAAAAATAAAAAATAAATAATAAATAATAAATAATAAATAATAAATAAAAAATAAAAAAAATAACATAAAATATATAAAAATAAAGACATTAAAAAAAATTTTTTTTATCATTTATTTTTTTTTTAAAATTTTTTATTTTATTATTTGTGCATTTTTGTTTACATAAAATATTTAAAATATTTTTTCTTTTTTTTTTTTTTTTTTTTTTTTTATGTTTTTTGGTTAATTATAATTTATTTATAAAATGATAATATAAATATATAGTAATTTTAATAGATATTTTTTTTAATAGATTACATACATATTTATAAATTTTATAAATATATTATTATTATCATTATAATATTTTTTTTTCTTTTTTTTTTTAGCTATTTTCTTTCTATTTCAGAATATAAAAATAGAAAAGAATAATCAATATAAAAATAATTATATTATAGATATAGATTTATTATTTTTTCTTTAATATAATAACAATAATATTAATAATATGAAAAAATAATGTTTAAAAAAAAAAAGAGAAATATAACAGCAAATATATATATATATATATTTATATAAAATAATATAATAAGATATATATTATTTATATATTATTTACTTTAAAAAAACAAAAATAATTATCCATAATATATATATACATATATATCTATTTTATAAATCATTTATTTTCAAATTTTTTTTTTTTAAACATTTAAACTTTAATATCATTTCCCTTTTTAAGAGCTCCAACAACATTATGTGGAACGTATAATTCTTCTAAATATTTTATTTCTTCTTCAGTTAATTTAAAGTTAACTGCTTTACAGGCATCTTCAAGATGTTTAATTTTAGTTACACCAACAATAGGAGCAGCCATTAAAGGTCTTGAAAGTAACCAAGCCATAGAAATTTGTCCCATACTTACTTGATGTTTATCAGCAATTTCTTTAACTCTTTTAACCACGGGTAAATCTTTTTCACGATTAGCATCATATTTACCTTTAGCAAATTCATCATCTTTAGATCTATTAGAATCTGATTCCCATAATCTTGCTAATCTACCACCAGCTAATGGTGAATATGGAGTCATTACCATACCTTCTTCTTCTAATAATTGAATCATTTCACGTTCTTCTTCTCTATATATTAAATTATAATGATTTTGAATAGAAACAAAAGTAGCCCATCCATGTTGTCTTGCACATTCTTGAGCTTTATATAATTGATAAGAAAACATAGCAGAACAACCAAGAGCTCTTACTTTACCAGATTGAACTAATTCATTTAATGTCTCCATAGTTTCTTCAATAGGTGTATTATAATCCCAACGATGAATAATATATAAATCAAGATAATCCATTTGAAGTCTTTTAAGAGATCCTTCAACTTCTCTTAAAATAGCTTCACGAGAAAGACCTCCATCATTAAAACGTACTTTAGTAGCAATAACAACATCTTCTCTTTTAGCAAATTTTCTAATAGAATTACCTAAATATTCTTCACTAGTACCAAAATTATAACAATTAGCGGTATCAAAGAAATTAATACCTAAATCTAAAGCTCTTTTAACCATTTCATCCGTTTGTTCTTGATTTAAAAGCCAAGTAAATCCATCTCTAACACCAAAGGTCATACAACCTAAACAAATTTTTGAAATTTTAATACCTGATTTACCTAAAGTAGTGTATTCCATGATGTTTTTATTTATTTGTTTATTTGTTTGTTTGTTTATTTGTTTGTTTGTTTATTTGTTTGTTTGTTTATGTTTATTGTTTATTGGTTTGTTTATATTTTTATTTTAATATTATAAAATATATATTGGGAATAATAAAATTAATTCTCTTATTATTATTATTATTATTACTATTATCTATATATATATTTATAACAAAATAATTATTTATTTTGTTTATTTATTTATTTGTTTATTTTTCTATTGATTATTTGTTTATTTATAATGATATAAATATAAAAAAAAAATTTTTTTTATTAGATTTAAGTCTATATATATACTTATTTTTTTTTTAATATTTCGATAATTATTTAATATAAATTAAAAAGTTTAAATTAAAAAAAAAAAAAAAAAATTAAATTAAAAATTTTGATTTTATATATATATTAGTTTAATCATCCATTTATTAGTTTTATTATACAATATTTTAATATTATTTTTTTGGGTTTTATAATTTATATATAACCTATTAATAATACAAGAAGTATTTTTGTGTTATTAACGGAAAAATGGAAATATTTCCATTTTTTTAATTTTTTTTTTCAGTGTTTATATATATATATATTATATAATATATATACATAATTTTATATAAAATACATAATAATAATTATAATAATTATTTTAATTTTTATAAACAAACTATGAATAAAAAAAAAAAAAAAAAAGAAAAAAAAACAAAAAAAACCCTTTTATACAATATATTATAATATTAATTCAATATATATATAAATAAAAAATATTAAATTTATTAATTAAATATTAGAATATCATGGAATAAAAAAAATTTTCCATACCTTTTTAATTATTTTTAGATATTTATTAATATATTCATATTCATATTCATTCCTACATCTTCGTATTTTTTATTTTACAATTAAAAAAAACATTGTCATTGTATGTTGTATAAAAGAGTATTCCTAACTAGTAAATATTAACATTATACATAAATCTATTTAGATACATTTATCCTACATACAAAAAATTTGATGGAATTAAAATCCATAAATAAAAAAAAAAAAAAAAGAAAGTTTTTTAACAATTTTTTATTAATAATAAGATTTAGCTATTAAATATACTTACTTAATAAAGACAATAAAAAAAATTAAATAATTTAATTAAATAAATAAATAATAAATAAATAAAAGAATAATAATAACTTTATTTTTTTATTGTCTTTATTATGTAATTTAATTAAATAAATAAAAGAATAATAATAACTTTATTTTTTTATTGTCTTTATTATGTAATTTAATTAAATAAATAAATAATAAAAAGAAAAAAAAGAATATTAATAACTTAAGATAATTATCATTATTATTAAAAGTTTTACTCTTCTGAGGACCTGTACTTCCATTCATTTGGAATGCTCAGAAGAGGGTAAATGCCTGTCGATACATGGCGACGTTAAGGGCATTTTATGAAGTCTCCTAAATAATTGTTCTTTTTCCTAATAATATGTATAAGCTGGATATGCAGGAAATGAGATATTTGTATTTTCTTTTAAATTTACCTTTCATGTATTTCTGTATATTATCACTGTATGAATCCATTGTAATTGCGTTAATTATTGTATGAGCTTGATTCACTCAAATGCATGTGCTTATACTTTATTAGAGTTTAGAATAGTTATTTTTGAGTTCTTCACCTTTAACTTTTTTTTAATTTCATGAATTTAAGAATTTACAAGATTTCAAATATATTTACATTCGCAAAAAGAGATTTTATAACAACTATCAATATTCTAAAAGTGTTTTTATAATAGTGTAAAGAAGATAAACAATTGTAAAATTTAAACAACAGTGAAAAATTTACATTCAGTTATTACTAGTCTACATTTTTTTTAACTCGGTCTTTTTAGTTTAAAAAAAAAAAAAATATATATATATTTTAGTTTTGCACTTTCATTTTTCATTTTTATTTTTTTCAATATTAAATATATATAATCACAATGGTACGGAATTTTTATAATAGTAACGAAAATAGTAATGTGTTTGTTCGTGGTTTCCGTTGTTATGGAATTGATATTAACAACACTAGCATTATCTTCATCAATGGCCTTCACTCATGGACCAATGCATATATGATGGATTTTCTGGAATCGAAATTTAAGGAGTTCAACAAGTACATTCTTTCAGTTAAACGATCTATGTGTTCTAGAGGTTGGTATTTTAGGATCAAGGTTTTATCATCTGACTTCAAATTTGATGATTTCAAAAAGAAATTTGTATCACATATCTCAAATGCTCGCTTGTCGTATAGTAATTGCACTCATTATATTCGTAAAAGATCACTTCAACAGACCAGAAATCAACTATTTTCTTCTTCAACAAACTTTAATGATTCAATTAATAACCAAAGTAATTCTACTACAACATCCTCACAATCTAATACTTCAGATTCTTCTCAACGCAACTCATTAGTTAGTATACACTCTAATCTCAACTCTCTTAATTCTATCAAAGAT